TGGAGACCTGATTCTTTGATGTCTGGACATTTTCCTGTCTAGTGATGCTGAACAGTCACATCATAAAAAAAGTACATGAGGCTTCTAACTTTGCCTATTGGCTCTTGGACTTCTGGCCGGGGAGAAACAAGCTTTTTCAAGGGGAAGCTTTCCTGTTACACGACTCAGTGTTCATTCACCACCTCAACCAACCTGAACCACCCCAACCATCCCAACCTCCCTGAACCATCCCAACCTCCCTGAACCACCCCAACCAACCTGAACCACTCCAACCTCCCTGAACCACCCCAATCAACCTGAACCACCTCAACCAACCTGAACCACCCCAACCACCCTAACTACCCCAACCAACCTGAACCACCTCAACCAACCTGAACCACCTCAACCAACCTGAACCACCCCAACCATCCCAACCTCCCTGAACCATCCCAACCTCCCTGAACCACCCCAACCACTCTGAACCACTCCAACCACTCCCTAAATCACCTCAACCTCCCTGAACCACCTCAACCACCCCGAACAACCCCAACCACTCTGAACAACCCCAACCACCCTGAGCCACCCCAACCTCCCTGAACCACCCCAACCACTCTGAACCACTCCAACCACTCCCTACCTCCCTGAACCACCCCAACCTCCCTGAACCACCCCAACCTCCCTGAACCACCCCAACCTCCCTGAACCACCCCAACCTCCCTGAACCACCCCAACCTCCCTGAACCACCCCAACCTCCCTGAACCACCCCCCAACCACCCTAAACCACCCCAACCCTACCGATCACCCTTTTTTTTGGTGCTTTACCTCATCTTCAATCTTGTCAGCATCAGTGGTGGGGCGGTAGGCATCTTTGTTGGGATGGAGAGCAGCCACAAACTCATAGTAATCGATGTAGCCGTCGCCATCGCGGTCAAAGATGTCAGCCACCGCCGTCATCTCCAGCTTCGTGGTGGGGAATTCTGGAAGGAGAATGGAATGAAGAATTGGAAGCAGGGAGTTCATTTAGAGACAGGGATGTGGTCACCTTCCAAACTTCCAGGCAGAGACTTACTTGAAGCCAAGATGCCGTCGATAAACTCCTGCCGGGTGATCTTCCCATCCTGGTCCTTGTCGATGCGGCGGAAGAAGTCCATGACTCGAGATTTCTTGTGGTTCATCCAACGCATATACTTCTTCCTCCAGACATCAAAGTCGAAGTTTGCAAACTCCTTCAACTGGAAGGAAAACCAGCAAGAGTCAGCAGGGGAAATCCCAAAGGAGCAGCACCCTCAGCTACACAGCACCCCAAAACACCAGCCCTGGGTGAGCCCGAGCTAATGCTCCCTGCCCTCCCTCCCAGGGAGGTTTAACTGGAGTCATCCAGACAACCCCCATGAAGGAGGGAGTTGCCCAAATTGACTTTCCAGAACAGGACACACAGCCAGCACATGGAGCATGGGGATGCAGCATCCCCCACGCTGCTGTAGGAACACACAGGCAGGGAGATCAGCTACAGGCACACAGACACACACACCCCCTCTGCTCTGGTTTTTGGGGATGTTTCCTCACCCAGGTTTTGCCTATGGACTCCTCAGGCTCTGCCTGGGAGGAATTCCCACTGCCAGCATCATTTTGGGTACATATCTCCCTTCTCCCTTTCCCTCTAAACAGCCAAGAAGGGATTTCTTGCCCTTCTTCCAGCAGCTGGGACATATCTCAGCTCTGCAAACCCTTTCCCAGCCTCAGCCCCTCCAATTTAAACCAACACCCTTCTTATCCACCCCCAAAAAGTACCCCCAGGACCTCACCAGCTCAAGCACTTCACACCAAGGTAACACAACAATTTTTAGGGATTTTTTTTTCCTCTCTCTCTAAACATTCTTGGGGGAAAAAAGCCACAAAGAAAAAACATGAAAACAGATAAACTGAACTGACCTACAGCAAAAGCAACAGAAAACAAAACAAAAAAAACCAAAACACCACTCACTTCTGGGCATAGCTGCTTTGTTAAGCATAAATGAAAACAAAAATGACATTAGATGTTTGGAAAAGATAGAGACAGTAATTGTTAAACTAATTACCAGGAGGAAAGCAAGGCCTGGTTGTCAGTAACTCTACACACACTGACCACAGGGGCACAAAGCAGTTGGTTAATGTACAGTTCATTAACTAATTACCAGAGGTTTTTTAGCCTTAATATTTTAGGACTTTTTTTTTTTTCCCCAGCATTTTTGGAAAGGCAACAGGAACTGTCAATAAGAGCTGGGGCAACACTAATTTAAAATGCATCTTACATCTCTCTGGTCATCAACTCCCAGTTCCCTCCCTGCCTGGAGCAGCTGGGTCTGTTACCTCCTCCAGTCTGTCCAGGGCATCGTTGAGTTTCCTCTGCCTCTCCAGTGCCAAGAGCCAAACCTGCTGCCAACGTGCTGAGAGCTGGTTGATCCTGGGGTTCTTTGTCTCTGACTGGGAGATAATGGGCATGCTGGGAGGAGTGGCCTGAGTCAAGGATTTTCCTGGAAAAAAAGGGAGAAAAGGAATTGTTTGAGGTGGTGTTGATGGGTACATTAAGTCTGAGCAGTCCAGGGAAGAGCAGCAATGAAGTGGATTTTATTTCTTGGAAGAGAAAACCTCCCACAGGTTTGCTGGCTGTTTTCCCAAGGGATGCAGTGTCCCCAGGTAGGAGGACAGGGTGACAGCTCTACACCCACATCCCCCCAGCACTCAGGAATTCACACTGGACTCTGCCTTCAAGAAACAACAGTAAAAAACCCACCCCAAAACCTCATCCCAAAGGCAAAGAGAAAGGAGAGCAGTGCCAGCCCCAGGCACAGCACACCCAGCACAGGCATTTTGGGAAATGCCACCTGGATTTTCCCCTCCTGACAAGTCTCAACTGCCTTCCTGGTGGCTGTTAAGGCAGGATGCCTTGTTAATTGATAATCAGAGTTAATTAGCTTCCTATGTATTCCATTTCCTGCCATTCCAGAACGTTTCACCAGCCACAGACTCACTGTTGCTGCGGGACTTGTCGATGAAGGGTCCATGGGGAGGCTCAGTGGCTTTTCTCTTGTATGTCTTCGTCACCCGGTCCACATCTGGCTGTTTCCGTGTCATCTCCTCCATAAAGGACTGTCAAAACACAAGTTTTGAGAGGTTTTTTTGTTTCCAGACCCTTGTTCAGACCCTCCAAGCCCATAGAGGTGAGGTGTGCATCAAGCATCAGCCATGGGGGATTGTGATTGAGCTCAGTGCTGGCTTGGACCTGCAAGGGTCCTTCATCCTGGGCTAGTTTTGCTCCAGTTGGGTCCCATGCTGCTTTAATAGGGACTTCCAAGAGAAGTCAATGCCTCCTCCATGGAAGCATCTCTCCCACTGCTCCTCTCCTGAGTGCCCAATGTGTTCAGCACTGGGCTCACCTGGTGTTCGGAGATGAGGGCTTTGACCTGATCAATATTTTGTGGCATAGGGTCTTGGTCCCGTTGGATCAAGGTTGTCTCAGCCCACTGGATCCATGCCAGGAGCTCTTCCAGAAGTTCTGCATTTGCCACCAGCTCGGAAAGTGCAGATTCCAGTCTCTGCTGGTGCTGCTTTGCCCATGTGAGAACCTGTTGGAAACACAGGGATAACCATCAGCCCAGTGTGGGAAACCCACCACCCTATGGCCATGCCTGGAACCACCAGGCTGGAACAAATCCTGTTGGACTCACCTCCTCAAACCTGGCCCGGATGATGGTGATCCAGTGTTTGATGGTGGTGATGCAGTCAGGGTGGCAGGCGCCCAGGATCACCTCCCCCATGCCCACCGCCGCGTTCACGTCCGCTCTCTTCTCCTCCACTTTCTTCATGAACTCCTGAAAAGCCCCAAGGAAATTTTTGGCAATATTCTCCCCCATAAACTTTGCTTGGGTTGAGTTTTGGAGTTTTCTCTTACCTTGTGGGCATCAATGAGGGCCTGCAGTGCCTCAGCATCGTCGGGTAGTGCTCCCCGAAAGCGCAGAGACTGCTCTGCCTCTGACAGCCACTCCAGCAGCATGTGCACTGCTGTCCTGAACTCCTCTGCCTGTGCCAACAAAAGCACAGGTGTTAGTCCTTCTCCTCCTCCCCAAACAGGCTGAGAGCTGGGGGACAGTGAGCTGAAAGGCACTTTTATAAAAAATGAGTTAGCAGCCTGTGGCCTGGGTTTGTGTAGCACCAGGAGGTGAGTCCCACAGCAACCAGGCACCTCTCTGCCCTCAGCATCAGCTGCACTGAAGGGTTGAATGTTTTCCAAACCAGCACAACTGCCTGAATCCTGACCAATTTGGCACCTGGGTGGTTTGTTCTGTAAATTGCCTACTTGATGTAAAAGCTGCTTAAGAGCCTTTGACCTTTTCGGTTGGCTTTTTTAGCTTCAATCGAGGTCTCTCTCTCTTGCCCTGGACATTGGCAAACACCAACCTGGCCCAGCTCTGCTCACTGCTCTATCCCTGCTGTGCACACCAGCAAGATCTTCCATTCTCTCTTTTCAAACCACTCTTTATCAACACTTTTTTTGGGCAAAAGAACCAGTACATCACTGGCACCAACCCAGTGCTTTGCAGTTAGAATCATAGACTCAACCAGGTTGGAAGAGACCTCAAAGATCATCGAGTTCAACCATACCGTGGTTATTAGACCATGGCACTAAGTGCCACATCCAGTCTCAGCTTGAAAACCACCAGGGATGGTGAATCCACCACCTCCCTGGGCAGCACATTCCAGTGCCTGAGCACCAAATTCTTGGGACCACTGCAGGGCTGGGGGTGTCCTACCTAGCCAGGGCAAAAACTCTTCCCTGAGCTTTCTGTTGAGTTCCCAACAAAAACCTGGAGCTCAGCAAAGCTCTCCAAGACCATTTCCATCTGTAGTCTCCTCCTCACCTGCTTCAAGGCCTGTTCCAGGCGGGTTTGTTTGGACACAGACAGTTTGCACACTGTGTCCCAACGGTTGCTCAGCTCCTGCAGCTGAACCTTCACCCAGGTCGTGTCATCGCGGCTGTTCTCGATGAGCTCCCGGCCGGAGCGTTTCAGCACCTGGACTGTCCCTGTGCGCTTCCCCAGCTCCTTCTGGAAGACCTGGAGGGAGAGAAAGTAGAAGCCAAGCAAGGTTAGGCAGTCCCAGCAGGTTGTTTCATGGGTAGAAGCCCCAATTTCCCACCCTGGTAAAAGCAGTTGTGACTCAAAGCAGGTAAGATCTCATCCCTGCTCAGGCTGCAACACAAGTGGCTGCCTTGAATGGTCACTCAAACCCTGTCTGGGGATTCCTGATCCAAACTCTGGAGTAACAGTCTCCAAGACATGCTGCAGAGAACTGCCAAGACCAAAGTTTAAAGGACTATAAATTCAGTCAACTCCAAACCTAAACCCTCAGCAGATGTGATTAACAAGAACAGACCTCCAGCTCCTATCACCTTCCCAGTAACATAAAAGCTCCTTCCCAGCTTTTTGCTGATTTTTCCCTCCTTATCCACTGCAGGAAAGCAAGACACATAGCTCTGGTGCAAGGCACCAAGTCTGGCTCCTCTGTCTTCTGGCTCCTGGGGAAGACAAGCCCCACTTGGAGAAGAGCTGGAAAAAGTGTTCTCACCTTGTGAGCATCCATCAGGTTCATCACCAGATCCAGGTCCCCATGGACAGGTTGGTCTTCAGCTAACTGGGGTTCCACTTTGTAGAGCCAGTCCACCAAGGCCTGCAGTGCATCCATAAACTGCCCAGAGAACAGGAGAGCTTCTTCCAGCTTGTGCTGCCTGGAAAACAAACATCCCTGTGAAATTCCATGAAGCAACTCATCACCTCTTGTCATGTCTCAGTGACCTCCTCCAACCAGCCCATAAAATCCCTTTGATCAGAGTCCTGGAACATGAGCACTGGGGCTGGACTTACCTTTCCACAGATTTTCCACACACTGTGTCCCACTTATCCCGGACTTCTCCCAGTAAATTGTCCAGCTTTTGAGTGTCATCTGGAAGCAAAGCTTTCTCCTTGAGGGCTCTGCCTGTCCTGATGGTGGTGTCGTAGACAGGCTGCTTACCACCCAGTGTCTTCTGGAACTCCTGGGAAATGGAGAGAAAACAAAATGCTTCAGAAAGCCTGACCTTGGCTCTGAATATTCCCAGATGAATGTTTTCCATGGTACTGGCAGGCACAGACATGACCTTCCCCTGTCCTGATGGCAGAGGAGATGTTTCCCTGCTCCACCTCCCAATGGAGCATTTTCCACCCTATGCCCAGCACCAGTCTGGCTTTGGCAAAGCTCTACCTTGTGTTTGGAGAGCTGGAGCTTGATTTTGTCAGGATCATTGGAAATCTCCAGCTCTGAGTCCAGGTGATTCTCTGCATCCTCCAGCCAATCAATCAGTTTCTTCCAGGCTTCATGGAACTGCAAAGGAACAGAAACAAGTCTGAAAACCTCACACTTGGGGGTGTCCCTATTTCCTTTCTGGTCCTGGGACCTCCTGCCCTCGAAGGCTGACAATTCCTTGGGTCTGCCAGACCCTTCCCACCTCTCTCACCTGCTTGGCTCTCTTCCTGGCATCATCAAGAGCTCGTCCCCTCTCCACTGAACGCTGGACAACCTTCTCCCAGCGGGACTGGACGCTCACCAGCAGGTTCTTGATCAACACCACATCCTGCTTCTGACTGAGGAACTTCAGCTGGTTCCCAGTTTGATCCAGCTCGATGATGCGATCCCGATGCGCGTTCACCTCATTGGCAAACACCTGGGAAAAGATGTCCCATCTGTAAGGGGAGCTGGATGGGTGCAGGGGGGATGAGGTGCCAGCCTCACTCCCTCCATCCTGGGGATGAAGCTTTGTGTCCAAGGCACTGGTACCTTGTGCTCATCGATCTGGGCCAGCACCGCGGCGAGGATGAGACTGGCTGGGGGTGCAATGTTCAGGCTCTGCTCAGCCAGTGTCAACCAGTTGATGAAGTCCTGGAGGGAGTTCTGGAAATCGGTGGCCAGGGCCAGTGCTTCCTCCAGTTTTGCCTAGTAGGGAGAGAAAGAAAAAACACAACATGAAGGGTGAGAGCTCTGATCTGCGGCTTCGCAGACAGAGGTGGCCTTTGTGTCCCTGCTGAAACATCTCTCCAACAGGAACCTCATTGCCTCAGCCCAGGAACATGACTTGTTTACCAAGGGGAGGGGGTTGCAGTCAAAGCTGTTGCTTCCTTTCAAAACAAGAATGGTCCCTGAAAAGGGAAACCTTCATCAGCACACGAGCAGCTGCGTCACCCTCAGCTTCCTGGGAAAGGGTTTGCCGTGGGGAGAGCAGCTTGGTGAATGGGGTGGGTGATATTCTGATGGCAACAGCTGCAGCACCACAAATTTATTCTGGGCTGAGGCCACTGCGGCCCTTGTTTTATCTCATCCCCAGCCAAAAGCCTAGGATGGAGTCAGCTTGGAGGAGGATTTGGCTTGACCAACAAAGCTTCCCTTTGAGAGCTGCGGGAGGCTTCTTCCCACCTCTCCAAATTAACCCAAAATGCAATTTTACTCCGATTTTCTGTGTGATTTAACCAATTCTGATGACTATCTAGAAAAATAAACACTAACAGCTTGACACTCAGCACCATGGGAAGGACAAACTCAACCTGTTCAATCAAGAGAGAGGTTGTATAAACCAAACAATCCCCAGCCCTGTGTGGCTCCATCCCTCCTGGGGAAGCAGAGTGGGAAAACAGGGAGTAGATGCTGTCAGGCTATGGAGAAAGGGTGGGATAACTCTCCTCCAATGTTACCTTTCTCTCCTCCATCTTGGTGCTGACCAGACACCATTTCTGCTCCAGCAGTGCCACACTCTGCTCTGTCTTTGAGCCAGAGCCAGAGTCATCACGGTTGAGCAGCATCAGCCTCCCCTTGGCCAGCAGTTGGCTGTAGACATCCTCCTTGGCTTTGAGCTGGCTGTACAGCTCCTGTAAAGAGGCAGCACCAAAGGATCAGACAAAGAAGAGCTCAGAAAGGGGCCATGTCATGCTGCAAAACTCCAGGTGATGGGAACATTAGGTTCAGGACAGGCAGCGAAATGACAGCAACGTGTCACTTTGAGCTGAGAAAAGGTGGTTAAAGCATCATGATGCTTGTTCCAGGCATCAAGTGCAAAATGATCTGTAAGAGGAGAGCAGAGCAGCCTCTTCTCCCCATCAGACAGAGAAGGGAGAAGTTTTGATGCTGATATTTGACAGCAGCTTCTATTCAATGCATTACCAAAAAAAAAACCAAAAAAAATTAATAAATCTCTCCTGAGAAATTACCATGTGGGCATTGAGCTGTTCCCGGGCAGTTTCTGGCAGACCTCCTGTGGGTTTTGATGCTGACAATTGGCTCTCCATCCTCGTTAGCCACAGGAGGAAGTCTTCAATCTCACCATGGAAACCCTGAGCCTGTTCAGGAACAGAGAATCGGCCCCGGATCAGATGACATCAGCCACCATTGATCATGTGCCAGGGGGAACGTTGTGTTTGCTTTGAAAGCAGATAAAGAGGCAGAACTGGATGCGCCAGAGGGTTCAGGAGGGTGACACATAGTGTATCCACAACCCACAGGTGTGTCTGGTCCCTGCTGCATTTCTGGGCAGGCACTGAACCACTTCCATCAAACAAATCCCAGTGTCATCCTAACCTTTCATCTCCCCCCAAAGTGAAGGGGGAAGCACCCACTGCACAGGGAGTATTCCCAGTGCCTCTTCCTGACCTGCTGGAGTGTGGACTGCAGCTGCTGCTCCCTCTCCTCTGTCTTCTGCAGCACTGAATCCCAGCAGGACTTCAGCTTAGCTTCTCCAGGCGGTTCCGCAGGCTGCTGGCATCATCCCCTGCACTCGACTCCAGCAGCTCATTCCCTGCTTTGTTCACTGTCTCCACAGTTGCTTGGTGGGCCAGGACGTCGTTCTTCAGCACCTGCACGAGGGGGTAAATGTTGGCCACATCCCTAAAACACGTCCTGTCGAGCCCTGACTGCTCTCGTGGATCAAACCAGCTCAAACTCTTCCTGAGAAATGAAATCTTGCCATGGGAATGGATTGAAAAGTGTACTTGGGAGGAGGAATACTCACATGGTGCTTTGCAAGTTCAACCTCGATGACTTTGGGGTCTCCATTGATGGGTTTCTGGGCATCAAGCAGCTCCTCAGTGTGAGTCAGCCAGGCCATCAGCTCTGCCAAGGCATGCTGGAACTGGCCAAGTGCCAGCAGAGCTGCTTCCAACTTGTGCTGGGCAAGGACAGGGATGGAAAAGGGAAGTTTTCAGGACTGGGAGCATCACAGTGAGTTTCAACCCCACATTTGGGAGAGTTCCAGGTCTTCACTCTACCTGTCTGTGAGCAATTTTCTCGCCCAAGTTCTCCCAGAGATGTTTCAGCTCTGTCAGTGGTTCCTTTATGATGTCTCTGTCTGTCTCATCTGTAGCCTTTTTTAGCATCAGTTCACCTTGGTGATTAAGCTTTTCCATCTCAATCTGCTGCTGGTAAACCTCCATTTTAAACTCCTGCCAAAACAAACAGGACAAAAACCAGAACGAAATGAATCACTGGAGCTCTGTGAGGCAAAGCAGAGCTGGAGAAACTGGTCCCTCTCTGCCCATGTACCTTCATCTCGTTCATCTGCTCCTTGACCGTGCTGAGGTCAGTGCCCACAGGTGTCATGTTGCAGAGTTTGATCACAGCATTGTCCAGCCAGTCAAACATGGCCTGGAAAGAGTATGGACAGGATTAATAAAGGGAATGGCGAAGTGTTCCCTCCAGAGCTGGTGAGGAAACAGAGATGGTGTCTCCACCACTCCACAACCATGAAACTTTCAGGGCAGAGCTGCCTCCTTGGCCAGCTCTCTCTTTCCTTCCCTCTCCTGCTTCCAGCAACCTGCCAGGAGCCACTTCATCCTGCTGCTCCATGCAGAAATGAAGGTAGATTTGAGAAGACAAATGCAAAGTATCTGCTCTTCCTCAGAGCTGCTTGTTGAGCCTGCAAACACTCTCCCAAGAGCTGTTTCCCTAGTGCAAATCCCAGTACAACTCCAGGCAGAGGATCCAAAGGGATGTTCCCAAGGTCCACCCACTCCACACCAGCAGCCCTGCCTCTTACTTGAAGTGTATCTTGGTACTGCACAGCTGACTGCATGGCTTCCTCGAGCTTCTCCAGCCTCTCCTTCCACGTTTTGTTTAGATTTTCCCACGCGCTGTTCATCTGCGGAACACAAGATTGCCCACAAAATTCGTTAGGCTCTTCAACCAGAGCTCCCACTTGATTTTATCTGACAGAGAAAGCTGCTGGCTTTTCCTACCTCATCAATGCTCTTTTTCACTTCTGGTTTCTCAGTTTCGCCACAGGCAAAAATTAAATCAGTTCCAAGGAGGCGAATGAACTCCAGCTCCTCGTGCAAACCATCAGTCTCCTCCTTAATAGTCTGCATGGACACAGCCACAGAAGAAAAGTCTTTATTATCACAGAATCATAGACTCAACCAGACTGGAAAAGACCTCCAAGATCATCAAGTCCAACCCTACCGTGGTTATTAGACCATGGCACTAAGTGCCACATTCAGTCTCAGCCTAAAAACCTCCAGGGATGGTGAATTCACCACCTCCCTGGGCAGCACATTCCAATGTCTGAGCACTCTGTTAAAAAAAACCTCTTCCTAATATCCAACCTAACCCTCCCCTGGCAGAGCTTGAGTCTGTGCCCTCTTGTCCTCCTGCTGTGCTAAGCTATGTTTAAATGCTCTTCCAAAACTGCCCCATGCACAGGAGGGATGAAGCATGGACAGTCCTTCCTGCTCTGGTGTCCAACAGCTCAACTCCAGGCTCCAAGAGTAGGTGACACCATGAGCAGTTGGCCAACGTTGCCACACCACCTTGGTGTGCTCCCACCTCTGCCCACAGCATGGGAGCTAAAATAACACCTGTGTTTAGACAGGAGTCTGGCTAAAGAAGTTGTTTACGAGAGATGTGCTGTTTGCAGGAGCATTTTGTTAACTTGGGAATTAGTTTTTGAGGTTCCAAAGCTGCAAACCAAAGTGAGGATGGTTATAAAAGGGGAAGAGCAAGGCTAAACTTAGCAAAGAAACATCCTTGTTCTCCAGGGTTGAGTGAAGTCAAAGCCACCTGAAGTGGATTTCATCACTTATTTGGAACAAGCATCAACACACAAATCCAAGCACTTATCTCCTGTCTAACCAGTATCTAAATATACACAGCCCACTCCAGACAGTCTTTGGCTCGGGCTAGGAGCAGAGCTGTGTAAGCTTCCACATCTCTCCAAACAAGTGGGCACAGGGCTCTGACCACACACTTCACACACTTCCCAAAACAGTAGCAGATATAGTGATTGAAGCATCATCTCCTTGGCTGGAACAGAGGGTGGTGAAATACACTTCTGTTTTTCCTTCCAGTTCCAAACTGCAGTGGAAATAACTCTTCCTAATCCACCTGACTGCCTACAAAAACTGATTCACAACCCCTTCAGCCATGCTCAGATCTAAGAGCTTCCCAATTTAGCTGACAAGCTGCAGAATGAGGGACAGTCCCATGGGCCTCACCTCTGCTGCTTCCACCTGCTGCTTGATGATGGAGGGGTCAATGCCTGGGCTCTCCAGGTCGTGCACAATGTCCTGTGTGTCCTTGATGGTTGTCAGGAGAGCTGCCATGTCATACCAGAACTTCTCTGCAAGCTCCAGGACATCAAGGAACTTCATTTCACGTTCCTCTGTCCGAGCTTTGATGTCTTCCCAGAAGAAAACCATCTGATCCAACTTGTCCTGGATTACTGAGGAAAGGAAGGAAAACATTCAGTGAAGAAAGAAACCATTTTACAACTCCAAAGCATTTTGCAAACACTTAGAAATAGCCAAAAGAATATTCAAAGGAGAATTAAAGATGACCAGGACTATCAGAGCATTAACTCTGGGAGATATTGAGGGACGTGAGAAGCTCCAGCTTGCAGAAATAAAGCCTTTATGTGTGTGCAGGCAAGCTGAGGGCAAATTTGCCCACACACTTTCCCTCCAACGAATCTCTGTTCTGGCCACCTCTAGCATGAAGTCTCTGCTCACTCAGTCCATGAGCTGACTGTTGAGCTGCCAAGGAAGGTGCCAATTAGTGCCAATCGTGTTGATGGGTTTTTTGTGCTGGGGATGTTCCTTCCTTCCATTAGATGCTGAATGAACATCAACAAATCATGCCACAGGGGCCACCAACAAGAGATCAGCTCAGGGTGAGGGCTCAGCTCGGTTGAGAAGCCATAAATACTTTTCTCCTCTGGCTGATGCCACCCTGTCTGCTCCAGATGGAAGCAGGCAGCAGCCACCTCCATCCAGAGGATTCATCCTTCCTCTTAAAGCCAGGAGAACCTCTGAATACACCCTGGGACATCAAAGCCTCCTCAGCAGTGATAGAGTTATGGTCTGGGGAGGACCATAGCTCCACCCAGACATACCTTTTGCTGCCAGGTCCTTGTCTGCTCCCTGGGACCGAGCGATCAGCTCTTCCCCGCGGCGTTTCAGAGCCTCAAAGGAAGGTTGCAGCTTCTCCAGCTCCACGGTGGAGTTCTTATTCTCACTGATGCACTCCCTGATCTTATCCACCTCGGCAGGGATGAGGGGAGGAAGGTGCAGGCGGGAGGAGAGAGTCTCCAGAGTCTCCAGCATAGGCTCAATCTTGTCGTGGAACTGGAGGAGAGCAAAGCCATTAGGGCAGGAGAGATGAGGCGAAGCGACGCGTGTGCCACAGCCCTGAGCGCCACAGCCAGAGGCCTCTTGGAGAGGATGGACATTGCCTGGAGCAGCAATGCCACCTGCAGCACCAATGTCACCTACAGCACCAATGCCACCTGCAGCAGCAATGTCACCTACAGCACCAATGCCACCTGCAGCAGCAATGCCACCTGCAGCCTCCTGCTCCACTCTGCTGCCAATGGGGAGACTCCCAGAGCCACCACTGGCACCTGTGACCCAAACACAGCAGTGACTTGGCACCAGATTCAACCCTACAAAGTCATGGTTTTGGCTGCTGAGTTGTTTTTTGGGGATGAGCAAGAAAACCCCAATCCTGGTTGTCGGAGCATCCCAGGCAATGATGTTGCTGGGAAAGTGGCCACGTTTGGTGCTGATGGGAATCTCCCCATGGTGCAAGGCCAGGAGAAACCCACCCTGGCAGGGTCAGTGGGAGCTGCTGGGAGGCTGCATGTGGATGGGGAGGAGCTGCCACAGAGCTGGGGCTTCAAAAGCAGAACCAGAAAGCCAGGAGAGAAGAGAGGAACAGGGTCTAGCAGGGATTATTATTGGCTTTTTCAAGAAAAGTCAACTTTGTCCTTAAAGATCCCAATCCATCTCTGCTGGTGGGAAGGAGAGCTCTGCACTGTGGCTGTCAGCTCTGGCCCTTCTCCCAGTTCCTACTGGGAACACACCAGTGCTGGTGTCCACCAAATCCCAGGATCTGCCAGCAGAGAGGGGCCAGGCTCTCGGTGCAAAGTTGATCAGGACACTCTGGCTCAGCCAACAAGCAGGAGCAAACCAGCACGTCCAGCTGGAGCAGGAAGCTCAGTGTAAAGCAAAACCTCTGCTTTGCAGGAAGCATTCCCAGCAGAAACTGGCCACAGCGGAGACCAGGCAGCAGTGCAATGGAAGCCATCCCAAAAAAAAACCAAAAAAAAAAAAAAAGGTCATTTCAGGCCCCCAGAGTTAATTTTTGAAGCATGTTCTGCTGAGCTGTGCATGGGCCAGAAATAAAAGTCTGGGTGTAAAATAGAATCAGCCCAAAGAGTGTAAATGAAGGTCTGTGGTTGGGGGACTCGCTTACCTCAGAAATCTGCAATGGTGGGACGCAGTCAACACAAGAATGAAATGTGGGGAGGACGAGCACAGGCAGCAACACACACAGACAACACATTCCACAATGGGAGTGAGAGATGAGAAGGGAGGGGAATGTGGAGGAGGGGGGGAAAAACTCGGAGTTAATACAAGTGCAAACCAAGAGAAGTTGACTACACAATACAGGAATTAAAATAATAAAACACCCAGACTTGACAAAAAAAACCGACTGAGCTACACGGGGTGAAATGAAATGTAACTGAGGGGTCATCAACCCTCAGCAGCAGGAACACTTCACCCCCTTTGTGGACTTTAGCACCTCCAATCTTTGCTCTTCCTCTCCTATCTCTGCTCCTGCACTCACCCACCTCCTCAGGGGATGCCCAGACCCCGGAGACAACCGTTCCCTCTCCCATTCAAAGGATCCCATGGCTCTTCACTGCACTCACAGCTTATCAGAACTGAAAATTAGCTCTTCAAGCTCTTTCAAGAGGCTCTTCGGGCCCTTCCAACCTTGGGCGGGTGCCAACACAGCCCCTTTGAACCAGCCTCATTATTGAGGCTGTAAAACTTTATTATCCTATTTACTATCAAACCTCAAACGCCTTCTCCTCTGCTCCCACAGCCAGCACAGAGCAGCAGGAAACTACCCCGGAGGTGTCTGACCACATTATGCCTTAGAAAGGGTTTTACAATCGGAACAATGGGAATAAAACCACATTCCACAGCACGTGGCTCCCCCAGGGGACTGTGAGGAGAAAGAAGATTTCTCTCCTCTGTGGCCCAGCTCACCTGGGTGGACTGTGAGACAGCCTCGTCGAGCGCCAGGGCTCGCTGGCACACCTCCTCCTTGATTTTGGCATACATGGCCTCAGCTGTGGAGTATTTCTCCTGCACCATCTCTCCTTCCTCAGGGTTGAGGTCCTTGAGCTGTGGCCCAATTTTCAGCAGCTTGTCGATATGAGGTTTGTGTTCAGCAATGGACTCTCTCAGTTGCTAGGGAATAGAAGGGAAAAAAAACCCCAAAAACCAACAGGTTTGTTCAGAAATCTGTTGCAAGTCACTGCCTATTTATTTCATGCAACACTCCAAGAGCAGAGATCATATCTGGTAGGAACTCACACCATGGATTTCATGCCCTAAAATCTGCCAAGCACTCAGTTCTTCCTAACATGGCTATGGCACAATGCCCAGCAAAAGTCCTTCCCCAGCTCCTGGCCCTCCCCACAGCACCATGGAGACCCCACTGGGAATTTTTGCTTTGCAGCTTTCCACCCTAAAAGCACAAAGTGGTTGTTCCTGCCACAAACAGAAAGGAAATCTGAAGGCAGACGAAGTTCCTTGGGTGCAAACTGCATCTTGGTAAGGAGTGCTCCAACATAACGAGTGATTTCCACATGGAACACTTGGATTACATGAGCAGAACTCCCAAAGAGAACGGGGAAAAAATGAGGAAAATTCAGACAAAAGCTGCTTTTCTCCCTGCAAGTGCTGAACTTCTGTTTAAGGCAGAAGAACTGATGGACAGGAGATGGAAATACTTCATCCTCTTACCCTCATGTCATCCTGCTGCTGCTTGAGCTGCTCGTGGTCGATGGCTGGAGGTGGCAGTTGGGAGATGAGGGTTTGTGTCTCTTCAATCCATGGGTTCAGCTCCTCATAGGTCTCCCAAAACTGGTTGACCAGCACCTGGGCACGCTCCAAACGAGCATAACGCTCCGAGTTGAGCTGGCTCACAGCTTCATACTGTTGCACCAGGGACTCAGTTTTCTCCTAAAAAAAAATCAAATCCAAAAAAAAAAGGAGGAGAGTTATGGAGAGGGATGAGAAACAGCCCAGGAAAAGAGCCAGCTGCATGCTGTGAGCTGGAGGAGCAGGAGGTGCCTTTGGTGGCCTTCCACGTGCACAGGCTGTAATTCCAATTAAAGCAGCCTAGGGAATCTCCCTTGTCTCCCCCTCCCCATCCCCAAACCCTGCAATAAAAATATGCAATAAAGGAGAGTAATAAATGTAAAGAGATTTCTGCGAACGCTAGTGGGAATTACTAAAGATGGAGCAATTTGAAACTCTTCCAGGCTGTGCAAGGGCTGAGGATTTGCCTCTCTCTGTCCCCTCTGTCACAGAAAACAGCAGGGAGGGCTCACCTGGAGAACAGCTTTCTGTTCCTCACCACAGGTCCCAAAGATCTCGTTGCGCTGGCTGAACAGCTCATCCATGGAGTCTTTGTGCCGGATGATGTCGATGGAAAAAGCCTGAAGAAAGGAAGGACCCAAAGAAAGGGAAGAAATCAGAGCTCAGCCTCAACTGCTCCCCAAGCCCAACCTCTCCCCAGCCCATCCATGGGATTCTCCTGCCTGCACTGGGCATTGCAAAAGACCATGCAAAACTCAGCACACTGAAAATCTGGCTGGAAATGCAGATTCCTGCCCGTTTTCCTCAGGACTCATCTGTATCAACCCCTCTCTTTCAAAGACCTGAAAACAGGTCTTAAAATGAGGTTTAATCCACTTCCACACCCAGAGTCCTCCCTGGAGGGAAAGCTCCATCATCCATTCATTAGCAAACGTTATCCCTCAGAACGACTGCATCGACCAATAACTTTGCCATTCCCAAGGTTCACACAATTAACAGTGGGAAGCTGAGCTCAATTTAACTCAGTGCTCGATAGTTCAGTCTCCCCTCCCTTATAAGACTGTCTTTTTTTCCAATTTTTAAGATTTTTAAACCAAATAGCCCTGTGTGCTGCTTGGATTGCCCAAGCTCAGGGAAGCAAAGGGCTGTTTATTTAAAGTGCACGTTCTTTCAGGCATGAGCTCATCTCAAAGATAAAAAAAAAACAACCCAGTGCCTCTTTGTTCCACGTCTGGCTGCCAGGAGGGAACTGTGGAGTCCCCACTGCAGGGAACAATGAGCAAAAAAGCAAATGGCAAAGCACCTCATTAATCAATACATACATTTCTCTAATCCCTTCCTGCAGCCAGAGCTGGCAAGTCCCAGGCAGAGCCTGCAACAGGGAAAGACTTCCAAAGGAGTGACTCTCTTGAGGGGAGTCCAGGCAAGAGCACCCATCTAGCCCTAACAGCTCTGAAAATGGTCAGGAGGCTTTTTCCTTGCACACATTCTTTCTCCCTTTTGTTCTTTTTTACTTTCCAAGGACAAGTGTTGCACCTCTCCTGGTGCTCTGGGCTCGGCCCTACACACCCCTTGGTAAAGCTACTCCCACAAATTGCATCAGATCACCCAAACTGCATCTCTCCTGGCTGCCCACCCTGTCAAAAGGCATCTTCATACCTTCTGCACCTGCAGCTGAGCTGTTGTCTGGTCCTGCTCCAGGCGGATGGGACCGAGAGCCATCAGCTTCCTCTTGGTTTCAGCCACCCAGGCCAGCTCTGCGTCGGCTGCCTGCTCATACTGCCACATGGGAGAGGATGGGCAGTGGTTAGTGATGGGGACACCAGGATGGAGCTCATGCCAAGTTGGGGATGGTAGGAGACACGGGGGAATCAACTGGGACACATGGGATAAATGCCTTGCCCTGGTGTGTGGATGCAGGAGAAGGACATTGGGGTGGGATGCAGGTTTCTGACTCCATGCTGCCCTTGGTGGCTCCTGCAGCTGGTTTTGGGGCATGTAGGAGCAGCCACCTCTCCCTACACCCTCCCTGCCCGCAGGGAAAGGGACACCTCAGTTAAGATAAGCATTTTGCTTGCATGATCAGCTCTGTGGCATCAGCGCTCCGTGGAGCGAGGGCAGTTATTCAGGCTGTGCAGGACAAGCCTTGCTGGGGAGGACTGTTCGCCTGGAACAAATCCCTGTGCTCTCACAGTAAGGCATGATGTTTTACCAGGCCTGAAAGTCACCTGCCATTGCTTTTATACCATCTACATCACCCCTGCAGGCACAAGCCAGCAGGTGGGATAACGTGGTGTTGGTCTGGAGTTATCCCAGCCCAACCACAGGAAACAGGGTCAGGAAACAGGGTCAGGAGAAGGCCCTGCTGCCACATGCTGCTGGTGGGGTTTTCTTTGCATTCCTGATGGGATTTGGCCTTCATGCTGGGCTGGGCTTCCTATCCCTCCCACTGCCAGCTCACTGTGCGACTGGAGCAGTGCTGAGCTGCTCACTCCTGCATGGAGAAGACCAAGAGGCTCTGGTGGGGTTATCAACTTACCTGTTGAGACCTCTGAATAGCAGCATCGATTTCTTCCACCCTCTGCTTGATGGTGTCACTGACCAACTTGTAGCGCTCGTTGGTGTCCGACACGAGCTTATCCAGCCCTTCCCTGGCTCGCCAGGGAACCAGCTCCAGGAGAGCTCGGCTCACCTCGTTCACCGTGTCCAGGACAAGCCTGTGCTCCATCACCTCCTTCTTCAGCTCCTGTGGAAAGCACCCATGGACACATATCCTCAGCAGGTGACATCCCTCTCCCAAAGCAGAGAGCAAACCCCATCAGCTCCTACAACCCCATCCCGGGATGCTGCTCTGCCAGCACTCACCTTTTGCCGCTGCTGGAATTGGGGTATCTGCTCTCCAGCAGGGGACTGTGTCCCACTGGATGCCAACTCATCCTCCACCTTGCTCATCCAGCTGGTGAGCTCCTCGTGTGTGGACTGGAACTTGGTGGCCAACTGCCGAGCCTGCTCCAGCGTGCGCAGGGCTTTGGAGCTGGCGGCGGTGATGTCGGAATAGCGAGTCTTAATCCCATCCAGCTTCTCCTGGATCAGCAACACCTCCTCCCCTGGGGGACAGCAGAGAGGGGGAAATGATGCTGGGTTGGGGGGCTGCAGGGAGGGAGGGTGCAGCAGCCACCTGCACTGTTCCCTCCTGTTTCAAACAGTTAGTTCCACCCTCAGTTCTTGGTATATTAATGCAACTTCAGCCTGTCTTCACAGGAAGCTGCTCTTAGAGTTGATATTTTCCACCAGTGTAATATCCACCTCATCCCTGGGATAGGTTGGGAGTGTGCTGCAAAGCCTGGCTTTGCCACAAGCCCCAAAGCCACCCTAACTCAGCTCTCAACTAAC